ATTATATAAATTAAATTAGTTTAAATTCCTATACCAGTATTAGATAGTTATTTTTCTAATTAGAATATAGCGCATTTTTAGCAGCAGAATTTTTTTTACTTTTTATTCTACTCTATAAGCCCTTGGCTTTAGAGAGGCTTGCCCAAGTTCTTCCTTATTTTTACCCAGTTCATATGGGTTTGTCTAGGCGGCGAAGTTTCACCTAGGTCAAGCCTTTCTCTTTATTAAAGGGTAAGGTCTGGTGGTATAGAAATTTAGTTTCTAGCGCTGAATTAACTTTCTATTCTAGACATAGTTTTTAGCTTAAATGTATTTTGATATATGCCAGTTATTATTTGTACTAGATAGGTTGTACTACTCTCTGCAGAATAAAATAAAATAAATAAAATAAAATAAATTTTTTCTCCCTATACCATTCTTAAATATGTATTTAAAAAAAGGTTCAATAAATTAAGAAAGGTATTTTCGCATTTATTATTTTACATATAATGTCTCAATCACATGAAAAAAGAAAGGCTACTCAAGATTCTTCACAATAAAAAAAAAGAGTTGTTTTAACACATACGCAAAAGCATCAACTCTGTTTGGATTATCAAAAAACATCATGGCTTATCCAGGAGGAACTTGATGCCATATATAAATGCAAGCAAAATACCATTTCTGATATTTTTTAAAAAAAAGATGAGTGGTTGTTTATAAATCTTGATTCAGAAGAAGCGAATAAACAAAGCGAAAGAGCCCCTTACTTTTCTCAAGTAGAAAAAGCTCTTGCAATATGAACAACAAATGTACTTGCAGCTGAACTTGTTATTAATGGTAATATTTTACGTGAAAAGCAAAAACTTTTGCAAGAGAATTTGAAATTGATAATTTTGTGACTTCAAATGGGTGGATTAATAAATTTAAATAACGTTATTATTTGAAAGAATATGTAAAGTAAGGTGAAGCTAAAAGTGCGTCATTAGAGACATTAGATGAAGAAAGAAGACGTTTACATAAAATTATTAAGAATTATGACTTAAATAATGTTTTCAACTGTGAATCTGTGATGAAACAGGTAAGGTTAATTTTTTAAAAATAATTAATTATTATTTAATCTTTCTATTTATTTCAGCCCACTTTCTGGCAAAAAAAAATCTAAAAAGCGGGTTACTCTTCTTCTTATATATAATGCAACCGGAACTGAAAAGTTAAAACCACTTTTTATCCATACATACAGTGCGGTACCAGGACCCCGGAAACTATATATATAGGTTGTTTCAAAATTTAAAAATTTACTATGATCTTTACCCAAGTTAAGCCAAAAATTTACTAATAACGTTACCCAGTTTACTAGTAACCTTAAATCTTTCCTATAAGTGTTACCCAAAATAAAAATAACCTGTTTTAGTTTTTATAACCTGATTTTATTATTAATTATTATAGAAATTAACCAAATATTGTTACTATAACACTAATTACATGTTTTTGTGGAAAAAAATTAAAAATTTCCCAAGAATTTCCTTTCAAACATAGACAACCAGGTAAACTTGCAACATTATTTATATCCAAGCAACTGTTATCAAAATGATAAATAACTTGCTTTGGAGTTATATAAGCAAATATATTACCAACAGATTTACATATTTGAGAAAATAAGTTGCCATCGGTATTGACAAATGTAGCAACTGAAATGTAAAATAAAGAATCTATGTTTTGAGAAAAAGAAACATAAGCATATCACATAGATATTGATCTATATAGTGATAATATTTTTTCTAAAAATATACTTTCCTTTGATATATATAAAATAAATCAGTTTTCTCTTAATGGATTATTATCAGTTATATTTGCACGAGAAATGTTTGGGACTATAATGAAAATCTAATAAATAATAGAATAAATTATTTACTATTAAAAACTCATTAAATATACCATTAATATATTGAGGTAATCCAATATTTTCTAAAATTTTCCTTCCTATCCATCTTTCTTTTCGCAATCTAATTGTTAGTTCTGAAGTACCATCTTTTCGGAAAAATTCTGAAATTAACAAAATTTTGATTTTATTTTAAAAAATGCAAGCCGAAATTTCTAAAAATAGTTCTACTTTTCCAAGTTTAGAATATTTTTACCCAATAATGAATATGATTCTAATGATTTTAATTTTCTAGGATATGAAAAAAAAAAAAAATTTTCGATCATTTTTAACATTTATATGATATATATAAAATACCCCCTTAAAAATATATATATATAATCGTTACCCACTATAGTAACAACCGAAAAATGAATCATAAGATCATTACCCATTTTATATAATAACAATCTGGCCCTTACCCAATTTAACAAAAAACCTAAATCGTGTTTATAATAAAATTACCTGACTTAAGCAATAACAATTTTTGATTTTTATAATAACTTTACCCAGTTTACCAGTAACCTTTATATGAAGTTTCCAGGGTCCTGCAGTACCTCTATAACCAACCCAATTTTATAGTTATAATGTGACATTTTCAAAAAAATGTCGCATTAGCAAAAAATAATATTTTAAAATTCTAACCAATAATTTTAATAAAGTATATCAAGAGCTTTTAAATTTATCGGGTTAGATTAAAAAATAATAAATTTTGCTAGTGTTATATAAGTTTGAAGTTCAGGTAATTTATTATAATGGGAAAATTTCGAGAATAAGTAATTTTTGTGTAACATAAAAAAAAGATAATCATTTGATAGTGCTTATTCAAACAAATCATTTTAGCTTATAAACTTACCCATACTTTGTTAAAAAATTTTTGAAAAAAAATTAAAAAAAATTTTGGTAGTTTTTATTTATTACAAATTATATTATGCCTATTTCTCAAAAAGGAATTACAGGAAAACTTGCTAAAAAAATATAAATCCCATAGAAAAGGTTCTGATGATATACTTAATCAAATTACTTTAAATAATTATAAATTATATATAAAAAATTATGCATAATTCTATTTAACATTAAGTATTGCATTAACCAATCAAATTTATATTAAGTCATGTGATTTTATATTATGTCAGCAAAAAAAATTGATTTGCTTAATGTATTTATCTTTTTAAAAGCTATCTAATTTTAAAATTTTATAAAATTCTGACCATTAGATCACAAGATATAAGAGGTACCTATTATAGAGGTACCGCACTGTATGAAAATTCACAGATATTGCGAGGGAAAAAAAAGGAAGATCTACCAGTTAATTATTACTAGAATTTGACTGCTTGGATGTAAGTTTCAATATGAAATGATTACCTCACAAAATTAGATACACAAATGCGACTACAATATCGTAACATTCTACTACTTGTTGATAATGCTTTGGTACATGCCTTAAAAGAAGACTTAAATTTAACAAATGTGACTATACAATTTTTGCCTTCAAATATTACAGCATAATATTTGCAACTCTGTGATGCGGGAATCATTAACTCTTTAAAGTTAGTGTTATTAATAATTTTACAAGATAATGCTTTTTTAATAAATCATAATGATTTTTAGGCACAATATCAAAAAATACTTGTTAGAAACAGAGTTTAAGCATATGAAATTTCACAAGAATTAAACAGAGAAATTGTTCCTTTGAATATTTATGATTCTATTAATTTCAGTACAAATGCTTGGAACTCTGTAAGTCAACAGACAATTAATAATTGTTGGCGGCATACAGGAATCCTTGCATAGGATGAAATAGGTAATAAAATTGAGGATTATGATGATCAAGCGGTTCGTGATGAAATGGAGTTGCAAGATTTAATTAACCAGCTCCTATTTGATGATCCTATGGATATAAAAGAATTCCTTCATATTGATGATTTTTTAAAAAGAAATGAAGGATTAAGTGATGAAAAAGTTATATCTATGGTAAAATCAAATAATAACAAACCAGAAACAGATCCAAATGAGGGAGAACTTTTAGAAATAATTTCTAAAAGAGAGGCTTTAGAATATTTGGATGATCTTGTTGTATTTTCTGAACATTCATTGAATATTTCTAGTGATTCAACTGAATTAAATTTATTAAAAAAATTGAGACACTGAATATTGAAATCTTACATTGATAATTCAAAACAGATTACATTAGATAGTTTTATTCAAATTTTGTAATACAATTTTTTCAAATAATAATATAATAAATGGATATTAATGCTAAGAATTACATTAAAACAATAATTTTGAAGGTTTATATACGATTATGATAAAAATTTTTTTGTACCAATACTGATTCAACATTTTATATTAATATCGGTATATAAAATTTTTATACTATACTGATATTTCGATCTACCGATAATTTTTTCCAAAACCAGTAGCATCAGTACATCGGGTTTTGACTGTACTTTCTTTAATGAAATGTTAAAAAACATTTTAAAAATCATTTTTTTTCATATTTTATAATCAAAATATTAGCTAACATTCTGATTTTTTTTTATTTCATTTTTTAATGAAATGTTTATTAATGTTTTGAAATATTTTTTCATCTTTTTTTAATAAGAATATTGGCTAACGTTCTGATTATTTTTTTATTTTATTTGTTTAATGTTGGCTAACATTTTGATTATTTTTTATTTTTTTTATTTCATTTTTTAATGAAATGTTAAAAAACATTGCAAATATTCTTGTTTTTTTTAATTTCTTTAATTGGAATATTGGCTAATATTTCAATTTGTTTTTTATTTTACCTTTTTAATAAAACATCAAAAAATGTTTTGAAACATAATTTTTTTTATTTTTTAATCAAAATATTGACTAACGTTCAAATTTTTTCATTCTTTTTAATTAGAACATTAGCTAACATTCCAATTTTTTTTATTTTTTCATTTTTTTAACAAAAGTTCCATCTTTTAATTTTAACACAGGCCAATTAAGATGGTTTATAAATAATAGGATCCCAAAAGGACCTAGTAAATTATTTTGTTTAACATATAGAGACAAGATAAATATTTTGCTTGTATTACTTTTACAATTTGATGGTTGATAAGAAGTTGTGAAATCATTTCCCATCTGGCAGGTGAAATACAAAATTTGGAGTATTTGGCATAGTATTTTCTGCTATAGTTACTTTAGCCTGCGCATAAGCTTTATAGCTGATTGAACAAATATCATAATCATATGATATCAATGCCAATTTATCCTTTTCTGAATGTGAGGTAAATTGAGAGAAAAACTCTAAACGAAGATGATTAATTTTAGCTTTTTCTTGTAATATGTATTGTTTATATTGCCAGATCTGAAATTTCTTTCTATCAATATATTTGAGAATTTCATTTCTTCTTGCATGTTCATTCAAAATAGTATTTCCAGAAATACATCTTTTCAAGTGATTATCATGGTAGAGATGGGTGCTATAATTACCTCCAGGTATGAAAATTAAGGAGTCACATATACTACAATATATATAATTTGTTGGATGAGTGTAGACTTTATCATTTTCATAAACTTTCTATACATTGTAATATATTCATTCTTAGAAAGGATTCTTGGATTCTCTTTAAGTATTTTCCTAAATGAATCATGGATACAAGAGCACCACATTTCTATCAACTATTCTTCTATATTTTTCAAAGTTTTCATCACCATAGCTTGCTAGATGTAGCTTAGAATAGGTTCTACTATCTAAATTCATATTAACGTTTTGGTAGATTATAACAGAATATAATGATTTTATTGATTTATACTGTTTTTAGCAATTTTAGCTGATTTAGCAATACTATACTCTAATAAATATCAGATTCATTTTTATTCGATTGTTCAGGTGAAAACAGATTCATAATTTTTTCTCTGATGGCATGATTACTGTAAACAGCTAAACTATAAATTTGTATTACAGGTGACAGGTACCTAAGTTGTTTCTCAAAATCATGAGATGATCAGCTAATCAGATCCTAAAAAAGAAATGTCATAACTGTCATAACTCATGGCGCAGTGTTTATTTTTTTAATTGCCACATGTCACCAGGACGATATTGGCAAAACTTTTATAAAATTATTATTATATTTGAAATACATGTAAATGCTATTTTACTAATTGCTGAGGATGTCACCAGGGTGCAGTAGAATGAGGCGCAGTATTATGCTTCAAATATTGCATAATTGGGATAGAAATGCACTATATTACACTTCCGTTCCACTTTGGAACAGATCACTTTTGCCAAGAAAAAATTTGTGTTCGTGACAGTTAAAAAATTCATATTGAATTATTATTATTAATGGTTTACTATTATGCAGTGAATGTTATAGAGTATAGTTAGATTTGGTCAGTAACATATGAAATATATTGACGAATGGAAAATTCAGATGATTTTGCCAGATATTTTATTAATTTTTTAACGACATTAGGGTACTCTAAAATGTATTGTATCACACTTTTCATAAATTCAAAGACTTCAAGAAATTGAAAGCAATTCCCAACTAAGCGGAAAAACCACAGACATTTCTTCCTCATCAACGTAGTCTTTCTTTCCTCTTAGGAAAATAGTTTTGAGTGTAAAACGATTTTCTATAAAATAACAGTCAAAAGAAGATATGATCTGAATAATAATTAACCAAAAAAAATAATACTTACTGATTCCTTGGATTGTTAATGAATGTATTTTTTTCGCATATTTTACATCATAATTCAAAAAGTTAGGAGTATAGAATTTAACGAATCAATTCTTTCTTGAAATCTCCCATAGTATGAGTATTTAAGAAGTCAGTTGGTGCACTGCTCATTTCTAGAAACACAACCTGACGGCCATCTGACATACAAACTCCTACTATGTCCACTTTCATTCTTTTTTTTGTTTGAACAGGATCCCACTTACTTCTAATAGAGGTCACCCACAAGCCTAAAGTAAAAATTACATAGAAAAGTCAAAAAAACTGGTTGAATTCATAAGGTAAAATTCTTTATAAATTAAAAAAAGTAAATGTAATTAGGTAAGACGAAAAGTAGTAGAGTAGGGCCGGTGTGTTGAGTAGAGTATTGTGATGTTTAGTGGTGTGTAACATAAAGGGTGTGAACTATACTCAAGTGATGAATAGACACCCGGCCAAAACGCTGGGCTGAGCTTGGGCCGAGGTGTTTATTTATCACTTGAGTATAATGCCACATCCACGTTATACTCTACTCAACACCTCCACCATACTCTACTACTATTCGTATCACTCACTCATCACGCTGAGTTGACACCACTCATCTCCATAGCACTCTAGAAATATCTGGGTGAGATCCTACAGATTGTCCATCAACTAGCTCGTGAATCTCACTTATGGCTGTACAATTCCAGCGATAGTATTAGCCACTTTTCCATAGGTAAATAGATAAACTGTACTGTACAGTCAGCTAAACTGTACTGTATGAAAATATTTTAGCCAATCATAACTCATTTTTTATTTATCGTACAATAAAATCTGATTGGTGAATTCTCACTTCGTACAGTACAGTTTAGCTAACCGTACAGTACAGTTTATATGTATACTTTTTTTCCATCCTTAAGTTTATCATCAAAAAATTCACAAATTGAATTTAAATTGCAAGTAATGGGATCCACATTCCTTGATTCATACCAACGAAACTATACTCAGAAATTAGAGGAAATTTAATCCTGAAATCCATAATGTTGGTTGAACGAATTAAAATTGGCGGGGCAATCAAAAGGTCTAACAACAATGGAAACCATGGTGCTGACGTCCAATAAGGTACTAATATCGTTATCATGGCCTTGTTTCTAATTACTTTGGTTAATATTCTCAGAATAAATATCTATAGAGGATTGGCCCATAAATTCATGTGTGTCCAAAGCATTTACTACCTCCGCTCTGGAATCTTGTGTCCAAGAATAATACCTCATCAGTTGCGTGTTGTGAGTTGTGGCGATTTGCAAAGAGGTCTATATAATGTGGTCCCCAAATTCAATTGAACATCTTGAACCAATTGGTCTTCAACTTCCAATCGTATCTGTCTATCTTCATTCGAGAAGCTCGATCCACCATTGAATTCTGAAATTCCTGGGATGTGTTCTGCTTTCAAGTAAACATTCCGCTCCAGACAAACTGTCTATAGCTCTTCCGCTATCTTTGACAGTAAAGTAGATGTTGTTTCTCCTGATGATTTATGTAAGCAACGCATGTTGTATTGTTTGTGCGTATCATAATCAGTTGGTCCTTTAAATCCTTGAAGGCTAGTAGAGCGAACAAGATTGCTTTTAACTCGAGAATATTGATATGAAGATGCTGTTCCATTCTTAGCCATCTTCCATGTATTACATAATCCTCCTGGGACATGCCCCATCTGGAGGTTGAAGCGTCAGTGTATAGGATTGTCTTTGGTTCCTCTGGAATAAGACTTCGTCTGTTCCATAGAAATAGGTTCTTGATCTACCATTCCAATTGTGCGATGCTTTCTGGGAAAAGTTCTATAATACCATTCCAACCTTGCATCTTCAGACCAATGTTCTTGTCTTTTAACAGTACGCGAGAATGTAATCTGACTGGAAACACAGTTCCTATAAGAGAAACTAATTTGCGGATCAGAATTACTGGCTTTTGGCTTATCTTCTTGCATTCTTGTATTAAATCTTTGATCTTGTGTTTTGGTAATTTTATCATCATAGTCTTGGAATCTATCTGAAATCCTAGATAATCAACTACTTGAGAAGGTATTAAAGAAGATTTTTCCTCATTTATGGTGAAGCCCAGACTTTGAAGAGAGGAAATCATAAATTGTGCATGTGCCAGAGCCTGTTCCTTGGTTGACGCAATTATCAGAACATCGTCCAAGTATACCACTACTCAGATCCCTTGCTCCGAATTCTTATTGTGTTTATTTTAATTTTAATAAAAAAAAAATAAAACCGCGTATCATAATACAAATTACGATCAGCAAAAATAATGGTAAATTACTATACAAAATTTTTATTTATAAATAAATACATTATCTGTTATTTCAAATCACTAGTTTTCGCGTTGGTTAAATTATCAAATAGCTGTGACACAAAATTTATAATTGTGATCTACCTTATATTTTCACGTTATAATTATAAAACTTTTTTAATATTCACAATTTTTATTATATTAAATATCAACATTTTCAAATAATAAGTGAATTTTGTTTCAACTGTTTATATAAATAAATATTATTATTGAATTTTTTGTATATAAATTTGCCAAAATCACTATACCAAAATGATTTACATTTATATACTAAATAATTATAAGAATTCCGGATTGGGCCAGGTTTTGATATTATGAATCCGGGCTGGGCTGTGTTGGCATAAAATATATATTTAAGGCCTGGACTGGCATATATATTCATATATTATTTCCGGGCTGGGCCAGGTTTTAAAATATGGGCAAATGCCAACCTCTAGAACATGATGCTTATTATGTATTGAATACGGCATTTAAATTTAATAGAATCAGATAAAGCTAAAGCATGTTTTACTTATGTGAGTTATGCATAATTTATTATTTGACTCCTTAATGTATCTGACAAACTATCAAAATGGACAAAAAATAAGCAAATTGTTTATTATATTAATATATATTTCAAAATGTTTCAAATAAACTACAGTAAAAGATCAATTTGGAATTTTAATTCCTAATTCTACTAAAATTTTAATACGATGTCCAGCTAAGTCAACTCCAATATTTTTTAATTGACCCAACAAATCAACAGTATATCCATTATCAATAAAATTAGTTTCATATTTTAGAAAAGAATCACCAAATTTCATAAGAAAATCTCCTTTCTTTATATTTAGATTGTAATGGTGTTTCGTTGAATAATAACCATGTTGATAAGAATTGTACATTGGTGGCATTGGTGGTGACATTTGATAAATGATCATAGGTTGTGATCTAAGATTATTTCCAGTTGTTTTTGGTAAAGCATTAGTTTTTTGCTTTTTTGATTGGATTGCTGGTGGTAAAAATGATGTTTAAGAAGGTGATTTTGACAAAGATGTTCTTTTGTTTTCTGGTATATTTCTTTCTGGTTTAGAATCATCAACTTATAAGTATATTTAATTTATTAATTAATTCAATTAATTCAAGTAAATAAGAAGCAAACATGATGTTTACTAATCATTTAACACCAATCAATTTTCAACAATAAATCAATGGAAAATAATACATACTTAAACAGTATTTATTTTAGTGAAATTAACAAAATGATGGTTCTGAACAATACATTGCGCAAATGATTTAATATCTCAGACCTTTTTTTTTATCATCAAGAATTTCACTTATCTGCTCTACTTTCTTTAATTGCTGTAAGATAAAATATAATAGTATAATTGTATCATTTATTTGAATAAATTGCAGTTAAGAATTAAGAAATGTTAATAGATGCTTTTTCTTTAGTTCCTTTAATTGTAATTTTTTCTTTCAGATTTTGTGTATCTTGTGTTAAAGGTCTTTTTAACGTATTTGTTTTAGGTTCTATATAATAAAAAGAGAAATTGTTAATCTGCCTAACAATTTAAATATCTTAATTATTTAAATAATCACCTAATTCAGGAATACGCCTCAATCTGCAAGTATTTGTATAATTTTTGCTCGCTTTTCCATTTTTTCTAGATCTTATATTGTGATCTTGTTGCTATCAATCCATAATTTTTTAATTATCTAATGGGCTATTCTGAAAAACAAACAGTGCATTAGATCTATGACAAGGTACCTTATCAGATTAAAATATGACAATCGAAGCAATTTGGACCATCTAACATGGGTCGAACTCACATGACATTTTCTTTCCTCCTCAGATTTACATAGTCTCCAAAGCTCAGCATTCCATGATGTTCATCCATATCTCTTTCTACAAACCAGTCAACCATATCATCAAAGCCGCCAAAATTTGATTTATTTTCATTTCCATATGAATTTGCTGTTTTATAACACCTATGGCAGCTCACTGATGCTGATGTGTGACTGCAGAGCTTTCTCGCCACAGAAATATCATTTGAACAGCATATTAATGCAAATCAGATATTTTTTTCAGCGGCGGGAATCTTAATCCCATCCCAGAACTCTAATAACTCATCAATAATCAGAGCGAGATAATGATTAATTTTGTGTAACTTAACCTTGCTTGGTCCTGGTAGTAGACCAAGCATCAACATATTTTCTTTTTTAAATCTAATTTCACATGGTATGACTCAAAAGGCTGAAACCAATCAAGATTAATTATATTTTCTAAGTGAGAATCTGCAGTCTCCGGTATAAAAATGGGACATCTGAAGTGTCTAAAAAAGTTTTCCAGATTTTACCATCATAAATATCTGCTAACATACCATAATTTACATCCCGATTGGTCCATTTTGTAGTTATTGCTTGAATTCTGGTCTCTGGTACAAACTGTTTATTTGTATTTTCAAATTCTACAATGGAAATAACAATTTGGAGCATCTTTTATTTTCATTACCATGCGGTACTTGCACATTTAATTCCATTCTGCAAGATTTTTCATTCTATATGTATACATTTAAATCCTTCATTTAGCTATATTATATAATGTATTACAGCTTGGATATACTGCATAAGTCATAGATTGGTTGTCAATTCATAATAACTTGAATTTCGTCTGATTAGCATCCATTAATATTTGATAAAAAAGCTTTATCAAAGAATCTAGTGCAACATCCGGCAAGAAAAATCTTGCTTGATATTTGAATATCCATGTTAATATCCAAGAATCTGCAATATTAACATTTGTGTTAAGATATGTGAATTCTAAATCAACAGGATCGTCATTCAAATCCATATTGTCTTCTGGAGAAATTTATTTATTTATTTATTTATTTTATGCGAAGCAGGCAGGGGATATAACAAAGGGTATGATTCCGAAGTAATACAACCCAAATAGATCCTACCATCGATTTCCAGAAGAGCCAGAAGCCAACCCTAACTACTTGAAAATAAAAGACCTGTACCACTACCACGTCCGATAAAGGTCCAGGCAAACACACTGGGTAAAAAAAAGGAGGGGGAAAGAAAGTGGAGAGGACAAGTCCTCTTTTCAAGAAATTCAGTACAAACGCATAAATCTATTCTATCCTAAAAAATAATACAATTCTGAAAGTTGTAAAACCGCTAATAAAAGCNCCTATCTTATAAGTAAGCAGGGCCCTTTCAAAATTGACCAAAAATTTGGTTCAGTTTTTGGTTCAGTTCAATTCTATTTTACTTTAAGAAAAAATGCAAAAATTGAAATAACTCAGTAACCAGTGATCGTATAAAGAATGGTGTTAAGAACATCTCTCTAGAAACTAGTGATAAAATTATATATATTGATCCTAGAGAAATGATTTTGGCATCATTCGATAGGTTTTAATGAGACGAATCTAATGAGCCTTTTTTTTCATTTTTTTATAATCACTACATAACAAGTTATCTTAATTTTCGCATTTTTTTAAATTTTTGAACATTAAAAAATAAAAATTCTGATCTTAGATGGTAAGATCATGTTTCTAGCATCAATAGATACCTTTCTAATACTGATTTTCTAAAATTGCTTAGCATGACTTATAAGGTTGCTGGAAAAACTAGGGGGTTTTGGCAAGTTGGCAAAAGTTAGCAAAACTCTGGAGAAAAGCAAAACCTGACGAAACTTATTATAAATGCCAAAAAAAACTGCTGAAATCTTGCGAGAAACTAGGTTTAGGCAGGCAATCTTAATGACTTATCTCATGATATACCAACGCTAGGAACATGATCTTACCATCATTCAACTCATTTCACTGAGACAGTTCTAATGAGCTAAAGATTGTTCTTATACAATTATTAAAATTTAAAAAAATGCGAAAATTAAGATAATTCGTTATGTAGTAATCATAAAAAAATAAAAAAAGGCTCATTAAATTTGTCTCATTAAGACCTATTGAATGATGCTAAGATCATTTCTCTAGATCAATAGTTTCATAAAATATGTTTAGCAGTGAATATCTCAGGTTGAGTTATTTCAATTTTTGCATTTTTTCTTTAAATCAGATAGAACTGAACTGAACCAGATGGTTCCAGTTTGGTTTTCATTTGGTTTGGTTCCTACTTGAACCAGAAAAAAACTGCACTGAACTGAAGCTTTAAGTAGAACACAGTTTGAACTAGCTGTAGAGTTCATTTTTGAATTTAACCTAATATTTTATCAAAATATTACACACACTTAAGTTCTTTTATAGAGGACAGTTTCCTCAAGAACTTATTTGAAAAAAATACGTCAAAATCTGTGGATACAGCCCAGTTTAATATTGATAGAAAAGTTTGGCGAAGCAGCCAATCCTATGAACTTCACTTCACTAGCTTAAACTACGAATATACAACCCACTACCTGTCTCTTATACACATCTAGATGTGTATAAGAGACAGGCATATAGCACTATAGAAAATATTAGCGAAAGGGTGGTGGGTTGTATATTCGTAGCTTGAGCTTGTGAAGTGAAGTTCGCAGGGTTGGCTGTCTCGCCAAACCTCTGTATCAGTAACTGGGCTTTATCCTTAGGTACTGAGGGGTTTTTTTCAAATAAGTCCTTGAGGAAACCGTCCTGTACAAAAGAAATTAAGTTGTAAGTAAAAGTTTGAAAATAAATTTCGTTAAACTTAGAAACGAAGTCTAAAGCTTCTTCGTTTGGTGTTCGGCTCTTATCCATAGACATTTTTATATTTTATGTAATAAAAATTTAATAAAGGGGATTATTTTTTAAAAAAAATTATTATGCAGAAATTTTCGTAAAAAATGTATTCGGGAAAGAGTTTTGTCAAAATCTTGTCTTCTGGAGAAATGTCACCTTCATTAATTGGTTCATTGCTTTTCTTATTGGCTTTTGGTTCCTGAAACTGGTTTTGTCTACGTCTTTTTTGAGGGACGATGCTATCAAAGAGGGAGGATCCTAGACCATTTAATGCAAGTCCTAGTATTAAGTTATTTCTATCGCTGATATGACATTGCGCAAAGTTTTAAGAATTCAGCACATGTGTCGAGGAATTTCACACGTATGATAGTCAGTAATGATCAAAATACTGATATATAACAAAAGATCTTCTGCAAATCAACAGATCAAAAGAATATTAGAATTATTTTGAAAAATGGCATATATTTAGGGAATGGAAGCAGGTTTGTGAGGAATGTGATCATCACTTAGAAAGAATATGTAAGTGATATGAATGTCCTTGGATAATTTGATCAATAAAGCAATAGTGCAAATTCACTATAATTTTTTTTTTGCATGGAGTGGGATGTGGAATTATGTAAAATAATATATACTATTTTTCGATTAAGTTTTATTGTAGCTTGATAAATAAATGCACAGTAATATTATAGTAATCATTACATGTATTATGGTAATAAGTAGTTGTGCAAAATAATAGAGTTCCAATCTGTTATCTGACAGATAATCACATTTTGACAGTTGTATGCTTATTTAATTAATATAAAAAAGCATTTTTTTTAAGGATATCCTAAGAGTATAATAGGGCTCCAGACATCTCTTATAGAACTCACAACTGACTTTTTACCAAAAAAAGACCCAATTTGCTTTTTTTTTATTTTCCATTTTTTGCTATCCAGTGATCCATTTTATGCGGATATTTTTTATTTTGTAGAGCTCGATGTAAGCTACAAAACAAAAAAAGTTCATACAAATTGGACCACTGGATGCCAAGATAATCGCAAAAAACTGATTTTTTTTTGTGAAATTTAGGTCAATCTGCGAAAAAGTTGCCACTAAGTTGTATATGTAATGTCCAGGGTCCTAGTATAATACAGTATATAATTTAATAAATAAACTTTCTTTTCAAAAATGAAAGTGAGGAGAAATTAGGAATGAATTAAAATATCATCTGATAAATGAAAATTTCAATCTGCCCATTTATTTTATGTTCAATTAATTAAATAATGCATAGTCTGATCATCTTACATCGAATGCAGTTCCTAAATTATAAATTATGAAACATAAATGTCACTTTCCAAAAATAAATGAAAAGAAATTGAAATAATTTATTCTCAAATTTTCTCGTATATTCTCAAATTATATATAGCCCCTTGATGATCTTTATATATAGATAGCGTTAAATTCTTTATTGTTAAATTAAGAAAATGCTGTTGATCAGATTTTTGTGATACGTAATTTTTCCTTAAGTGTGTTTTAATATTGATCCTGCAAATTGTATAAAAAGGTGATGTTCTAGTTAGTAAATCTTTTTATCTGCCTTGTGTGAATATAAGCAAGAATTAAGAAAAAATCAAATGAAAATTCTAATAAAATTATTACTGCCATTATTTGCATTATCAATATTTACAATCAAATGTTCTGCAAAGTAAATAATTAGTTTATTGCTTGGTTAGCTTCTTAACACGATCTTAATCTTCTTGTTATATATTGGCATTTTAATCATTGCCAAGAAAATCTTTGACTATTATCATGCATCTAATAGGCGCAGTGAAATAACTAGCAGTATTACGAGAATATTATCTAATCTAATCGAATCCACGTATCTCATCAGCACAGTAAAAATTGCTGTAGCTTTCCTATTATCCCATCAACAAAATTTGGCACAGCATTGTGCTAGCAATAAAAAAATTGATATAACGCTTAGTTAGCAATAGTGATAGAATAAATTAGGTGTAGAAGTTTATAAAAAGTCAGAGAGAGCAAAGGAATAACTTGATGCTGGGACTCACATTAAATGGCCTAGGATCTGTGTGCTCCCTACCTCTTTAATAGTATCATATATTTCATTCGCTTCTCTATCATTTTCTAATTCATGTGTAGATTTTTCCCATTTCATAAAAATCTATTCGTCATAGTACAGTCAACTCTCTTTATAGTCACACATTTGGGACAACCCATTTTCCGTGATTATAAAGAGATGTGACTATAAACAAAAAAAATTTTTTTTTTTTTTGCATATTTCAATAATAAACATATTATAAAAACGTAGGAAATAATTTATTTTAATATATTTATTGTAATTTATTATAAAATTAAAATTTAAAACCTAATTATACTAATTATATTATTGTTAGTTATTAAAATCAATTTATACAATATTAATAGTATTTAACTATAAGAAAAATAATTGTCAATTGACTTCTGTTGTAAAGAATTAATATAATGAAATTTTAAATCAGAAGCATAATATCTAAAACGTTTAAGATCTTCCATTTTACAACTATTATCAATAGGTTGTTGTTCATAAAAAAGAATTACCTTTTTAATTGCATCAAAAGCTTCTTTTGGTAAAACTTATGGAGTTAATTCCTCTTCATTATCAATATTATCTTCTGTAGTAGGCACTTCTTCATTTTGCACAAGATTTATAATTTGTGTATCATTCAAGATTTCTTCGGTATGTGGAGAAATTTCATCATTAATATAATTCATTAAATCATATTGAACCTTATTATAATTATCAATAAAAATAATTGGAATGATATTTGGAATTTCATTAACAAGTACAGGACCCCGGTGTAACCCTAGATATCGAAATAATCACGTGAACAGAGGAATAATTATCCGAAGGCTGAATGAAATACCGAATGGAATATGGATAAACATTTAACCGACGAAAAAATATTTAACTGAAATAATTAGAAATACATTGTTATAGTTGTACAATAGTTAGTTATTTATAATAATATTTATTTATAATTCAGTTATTTATAATTATTTATATTATTAGATTAGTTATTAGTAGTCTAGCATAAATAGATTATTATTTCGTTGGGAGGACTTTGATAGTTTAATTGATGGAATGGGAAAATTATGGATCATATAAATTATGATGGAATGGGAAAATTATAAATGATAAATTAAAAGGGAATCAGACAAATCAATTGTTGGGGAAATAATTCATGGATACAGATTTATAATGAAAATGTTAAGTTGGGGAATGTATAATGGAATAACAAGTAAATTGTTGGGGAATGTTAAGTTTTAGATAGATGATCAAGAGATAAGAAAAGATATTCAAGATAAGAAAAGTTATTTAAGATCGAGATTTTGGACTTAAGTGAAGCGGGGGAGTTTCGACTTGAAATTGAAAATAATATTGGGAACTTAGGAAAATATAATGATAATTAATAATGTTATGATAACACTAAGGGAAATTATCGAAGTTTGAAATTTTGAATAAATTAAAATGATAAAATCTAAACCAAGCACGGATACATATATATTTATAAATGTTAAGATTTCGTCTATCGGTACGTGGCAGGTGCCGGTGACACCGGATATCTAATATAAAGGTCATAATGGACTTTTGGCCAAAAACACCCCTTTTTGCTAAAACTCAAAAAATCGTTTTTTGTAAATATCTCAGCATCCAGTAATTCAATTTTAATGAACTTTTTTTATTTTGTAGCCCTCATTTAGCTCTACAATTTAAAAAAAAGTTCATCAAAATTGAACAACTGGATGCAGAGATATTTACAAAAAACGATTTTTTGAGCCCCTGAAAAATGGGCCAATCTGCCGAAAGTGTGACTTATGACCTGTTTTGGAGATATCCGGGGTCCTACAAGTACACCCAATCCTCGTACAGTACTATCTTGTGTTTCTTGAATTAATTCAGAATCAGAAATAGATACAATTCTGGTTTCATTCCAGCAATTGCATATAGTTTTCTGTTCTACACTTTCCCAGGCTTCAGCAACGAAGTCAATTGCTTGTTTAATGTTTAATTTGTTTCTATACTTAAAAAAATTATCAGTAAACATAAAAAAATATAAAATTATAAAAAAAAATAAATACTTGCCTATGTACATCAAAACCTTGTTCAAATTGTTCAATTAAATGTCGAACATTTATTTATTTATTTATTTTATGTGAAGCCGGCAGTGGATACAAAACTGAGCGTGATTCCGAAGTAATACAACCCAACTAAATCCTACCATCGAATTCCAGAGGAGCTGGAGCCCAACCCAAACTTTTTGAAAATAAAAGACCTGCATTACTACCACTACCGATAATAATCCAGGAGAACACACTGGGTAAAAATAGGGGGGGAAAAAAGTGGAGAGGACAAGTCCCCTTTCCAAGAAATTGTGGTGCAAACACATAAATCAATTCTATCCTAAAAAATAATACAATTCTGAAATTTGTATGTAAAACCGCTAATTAAAGCGTAGGCTAAACTAGTTTCTGTAATAAAGTTAAAATCTCTGCTAAAACCGCCTTGTTATCTTTATTACCACCCTTAGTCTTCGAGGTATTTCTTTGCCTTCTTCTGATTCTTTGGGTGTTTCTCCTCCTGGTTATTATTTTTCAGGACTTTCTTCGAGGACGTGGGTTTATCCTTCTTCTTAGGCTGTTTACTTTCCAAATTTTTGTCAGACTTACCTGACTTTTTCGTATTCGGTGTATTTTTAGCCTTCGGTTTGCTTTGTGCTTTTTTCAAGGTAGGAATGGAGTGTCGACACCATTTCAACTCCCTACCATCAGGTACGAAAAACTGTGGCGTATCTAAGGCCCTTAGTGTGGTCTCCCAATTCTCGAAATAGGCCACAAGTTTCCTCCTTCCTTTACTTGTTTGTATGATTTTAAATGAGCTAGCACCGCACTTCATTAAAAATTCACATGGTTTACAGTCCATCCACAAGGTAGCCATCGTCATATCCTCCGGAATGTCATGAATGACGGCTTGGAACTTTTCACGTTGTTTTCTTTCTCGTAAAGTCCAACTTGCAGAGAACCATCTAACAGGTATACCTCCCAGGTCTGTCGTCCAATATTTATTAAACTGGGGAAGGGAAAATGAGGAAAGAGCTATTTTGACTCGAAGAGTCTGATACTTATGTTGCCGTTTAACGGAACATTTAATAGCGTTCTCCCAAAATTTTAACTCTGCTATAATTTTCTGCAGGTTCCAGGTATACGGGATATCGTAAACTATAATGTCTCGGATTCGCTCTTGCTCCTCTCCGACAGCTTCATATCCTGTCAGTATCTGTGTAGCCTTCAGTTCGGATGATTTCTTTCTCTTATGGGAATTTTTGGCTGATGTTTTCACATCAGGTTTTGCCTTTAGTGATTGGTTCACGACTTGTTTATCATCTGTAACACGCGCCTTTTGTTTATCTTTCTTCCGGGAATTTTCGGGTATCACAGTTTGATCAACAGGGGTCATTACTATATCAGGCATTGATGGAAGCTTGATAGGTACTGGATTTGGTGGTGATTGGAATCCTTGGCGTATTAGATCATCTACATCTTGATCAAGAAATGGAGACGCATCCATTAGGTAATCATCAGTATCCTGAGATTCCCTATCTTCGTCATCATCATCATCACCAGTATCGCCAAATTTGCAATAGAATTGGGTAGAAAAATTATCCCAAGACTTGGA